CTGGTTCAAAGGGTATTTCCAAGCACAGAAAACGAAGCAAATTATTTTGAAACAGGAGGATCTATTTGCATACCTATAAATACTTGAAATAATTGCTTTTCCTGATTTAAAGATATATATACACACACTATAATTACAATTTTATAAAGTAATTTAAATTATTTGAATTCTGTAAACATCTATTAAAATGGTAAAGAAATTGAATGATCATTATAGAATCTTAATTTTTTATTCAAGTTATAAGGTGATGTCAAATGCCAGACAGCTGAGCTGGTCTGCATCAATTAAAAAAATATAAATTTCCAGGCAACAGAATAAATACTTCTGAGGACACTTAAAACAAAATACCTCTGAAGGTTTCACCCCTCCTCCTTCTGCATTCTGAGTGTCCCTCATGCAAGTTTAATTTATGCAGTGATGGATATCCTGAGGGATGAAAGCTGTATTATAGACATGAAGATAAAATAATCCCTAAGTGAGAAGAACCAGTTTGGTCTCAATAACACTATACTCTGCACTGCAGGTAAAATAAATTTCATTAACTTTTCTAGTTAGCATAAATGTTAACCTTGCCAGTTAGCATAAATATAAACTTTCTGATTGAAGTACTAGTTTTCAGAGAATCAGACTCTCCTCACCTGGTAATAACCCAATACAATTTAATAACAGTTTTCCTGAGTGAGGAAAATTATCTCATCATCTTTTCCTTTTCAAAGAAGAGTTGCAACTCTCTGGCCTAAGTTTTCTGTGTTTGTGCCATTCTGCCTCTCCCGAGCCAAAGGCCAGGTCACATCGAGTTTCTGTTCTTCAGCCTTCCAGCAAGGAGACATCAAGCACCATGAAATACGTCGTATTATGGGGCCTTTCAAATAAGGCCACAGAAACTCAGCTCCTGCTCTCTAATGGTTTGAAATAACAGAATCCTACAAAATGTTAAATCACTCTGGAAAGTTCCTGAAATCCCATTCCTGTGGATATCAGCGCTGAGTTATGAGGTACCATAGTCCGCCAAAGACGGGCCGTGCTCTTGGGACTTCTTTTCAAGCCCTCTTGCCCTTGTCCTGCTGCAGCTTATTCGCGATATGTGCCTGAGATGTTTTCAGAGAACTCTGAGGTCCAAAGGACAGAAGAACTGCGAGGCTCAATCCATCTTTTGGCAAATACAGTGGGAAAAGTCTGCATGGTCTTTGTAAAAATAGGATCTGTTTTCTGGAAACCCCAAAGGAGTCACACCTGGTAGACTCCCAAATTTCGGCTTTATATTTCAAAAGCGAGTTTTGCAATATTCAGCACACAGCCCTATACCACAGGGTAAGATCCCAGGCCCTCACAAACAGCTATTCTGCATGGGAGGCTGAAGGCACTCGATTTTTATCTAAGCCCACCAGGCCCACCAACCCTTTACTCCTGCGCTCAACCCAGAAATCCATAAAGATCTTTTTCTAAGGAACAGAATTTCTGGGTCCCAGTTGCAGGCATAATGCAAGAGCATTTGTGCTCGAAGTAGAAATTGCGTCTTTTTGAAACAAAGCTTCGAGTAACCCCACTAAAATGAGCTTCACAGAGTTCTGCCCCAAGGACAGAATACGAGGGAGAATAAATACAGATGGCAACAATCAATCTCCTTGCTCAATGAGCTACCAAAAAAAAGCCCTCTGAGGTGGCAGCAATAAGGGCAAAGCAAGGCTCCACACAGATCAGAATAGACGTGTGCCTATATACTTGGGTGTGTATATTTAAAATAAATCTCTTCTTTTTAGGCTCTTTGTTCAACTACATTATCAAAAAGAGGTTTTAAATGCAAGCTTGTGGGACTACTAAAGAGGTGAATTTATGAATGTATGCCTAACAAAACACACTCTGGAAAGCTTTAATCTATGAATTGTGACAACCTTGGACAAAATGGATTTTTAATAGAATATAATGTAAACTGCCTGAAACATTGTGATAAGGAAATTTTTTTTAAGTAATGCACAGAAAAGGCATGATGCACTCTGCATGAAAGGAGGAAAGGTCTTAATTTAAAGGATTTTAATGAACACTCAATTTGCGTAGGGAAATGTGAGAAATGGAGATGAAAAAGTCATGATACTGATAACACTGCAGAGGGGAGAAGGAGAAAGATTAGAAAAGTAAGCACATTTGAAAAGGCTCCAGCTGATAACACCAGCTCAAAGGAATGCAGACTGGATTACGACCATGTCACAGTCCAAAGCCACTGTTCTCCTCGCAGGCAGTGTCTGCCGGGGGCTCTTATCAGAGTTGCACACCAGGGAAAGAAAGCGCAACCGAGGTGTTGAGCGGTGGAGAACAGACCTCTCTCCGGGCTAAGGGCACCGAGCACAGGCAGAGATTTCGGGGGGTGCAGCTGTGACTTCCTGGAGTTTCTCACTTCTGCTGAACATCCCAGGGCTGTGCCAGCCCAGCCGGCCTGTGGGGCTGCCGGGGCTTTCCATCTCCTCACAAACCCAACGGGGGGTGCAAAACCATAGTGAATTCAGCCATCTCTTTCCGAAAGAAAGCTACCTGGGCTCAGAGGCTCAGTCCTGGCTTAACCACTTCTCTACTACCAGTGGAACGCCGGGCAAGTCAGCAGAACCAAAATTACTTCCAAGAGAAAAAAAAAATCTCCCCTGAGGTAGATACAATTCTGTTTACTAATAGCTTCTGCTCTGCAGCGAAAGAGATTGATCCCACGCGCTCACTCATACATAAACTGCCTTTAATGAAGCTCTTTGAATTACTAAATGGAGGAAGAGATGAGTCAGGCATAGTGACGTTTTGCCACGCTGACCTTAGCAGAAGCAAGTTCAGGTCTCTGCTCATTTGAATGAAACAGCAGAACCCCCAAATAAACACTTAACATTCTTCAAAAGAAACAAGAGGGCCACCATTATGACCAAAAAGGCAAATTAAAGTAAAGATCAAAGTTAAATATTTACTCTAAGCACTGCAATATTTGCAAATCTGGAAATGATCTTTCAGCAGTTTCTATTTGCATACTTTAATTAATCCAAAAATATTAAACTAATCTCACAAAAGAAAGGGTCAAAGTATTAATTAACTTGAGATTTGTTGCTTTTGTGCAATTTAACAGTTCAACACAAAGCAAAAATCGGTTTTAATAAAAACTAAGTTACTGTGACAGGTATAATTTCATGGATTAGGGAAACTGCGTACAAGGCAGTAAGTTTCAGTGATCACCCTATTTTTTGCCTAACTTTAAAACTTGTTTGGTTTCAATAGAGAGATTCTTCTGTAACGCCAAATGATCTGAAGTCTTCCCTCAATCTCGGCATTTCCCTTTCAAATTGTTGGCTTTCTACCTTGCTCTGAATGGAACAGAGGTCACAGTGGTTTCATGAAAAAACCTGACTGCAGTGTTCAGGGAAGAGCAGATACTGCACGATCACCCAGATCATCCACCTGAGCTAATTCAGGGTGAGATTTCACCTCTGGAGCCATCACATGTCACCGCGCTGCTCCAGAGCAAGCGTGAAGGTTCCCCTCCGAGCCAGCGACTCTGCTGGCTGAGCCCTCGCCCCACCAAAGCTCTTGGAGGAACAGGGAAATCTTGCCAAACAACAAAGAATTTGGAGACAAAGCATACAGTGCCAAACCCAGCCTCCAGAGCTCTGCTTTATCAGTACAGTAACTCAGGAAAACCAAGCTAAATGGTGACGAAAGGTGGCTGGAATCACAACATCACAACCTCAGAACTGTGACTCTGACAAACGCCCTTGGGCAAGAAGAGGGAACTCCGCCTCCTCAGCCACATTTTTACTTTTTTACTTTTTTCCTTTTCTTTTTAATAAATGAAGAGGAGGAAGCGCATGAAACATCCAACGAACTGAAAGGTTGCCCAGCATTCCATGCCAGAAAGCTCTGCAGCACTTGGCTTAACCAGAAACACTGAGCGGGGAATCACCTTCCCTCACTTCACGCGTTTACGATGCAAATGCCTGTGTCCCACTCAGTCGCCTCCACTCTGCCTCTGTGCTGGAGAGAAACAGGCACTTTTCACTTGCTATTCATCAGGCCTGTTTTACGCATCCAGGAGGACTCTCACCTTAGCAGTGCCTAGTTATCCCTGTTGCTTAAAAGCGAACTCGCATTAAATAGCATTCACCTCCACACCCCTATCGCAGGTACCCAGAGCAAGACAGGATTCATTTGTTCCTCAAATACAGCTTCAGAAACTAAACAGAGTAGAAACTCACTTTGCACCTCTGACAACAATCTTCCTTGGCCTAAAAAATTACTAACAACCACTTCGACTACTTTTCTCCCTTCCAGGAGCTTTCAGAAAAAGACAGAGGCAAAAGGCTCCTCAGATAAAAACTCTGACGTAAAGTTTTGTGATTTCCTACTTATGATATGATTTCAAGCTAAATTTACGCATAGTGTTCTTCAAGCATAGAGTAACTGCATGAAAATGGAGAGAAATTGCTTGTATTGTAAAATACATAATTCTGACTAACATTGCAGATTTCTCATTACCTTTGATATAGCTCGTGGGAGAACACCATAACAAACATACACAGCATTCACAAGACAATTCATAGACATTCATAGGTATTTGGCAGCAATAATGAATAACACTTAATAGTTATTACGTTCATAGCTTTTCAAATCAAAAAGAGGGTATTGTCCTACACCGCTTTCAATTACTCTTCATATTTCTCTATTTGAATCCACTTCTTTCTGTTGGCTCTTTGGCAACAGGAATTCTGCTGCTGCCCTGAAGGTGCACGAAAAGCAAATGGGAGCCAGGGCTAGCTGCCTGCCTCCAGGTTAATTAGCTAATCTACTTCCAAAGCTCGGGAGTGAACCTAAAGGGAAAAAAACGCTCTCATCAGATCACCTACAGCTTTTCCAAGGAGGCTGAGAAGGAAAAAATCCTGCTGTTAAAAGAGCAATATGACTCATTGAAGAAGGTATCGTATGTCTGTCACAGCGTTTTAGCAAGGGTTAGTGCACAACAGTGCCCGGCAGCTTACCTGTTCTCCGCGGTGGGGTCGTTGTGCACACACGTGACCGTGGCAGTGGTCCCCGCGCTGTCCGTCTCTTCTTGAACCCCCCACTGGTCTGCATCGCTGACCCTGATGTCCACGATCTTCACACCTGGGGCTGTCCTAATTCTGTTGGGGAACAACAGGGATTGCTTTAGTTACAGACCTCCTAGCAGTAAATCCAGAGAGGCAAACAAGATGAACGTTCCCTCTTCCATTAGTAACAGGCTGAGAGATTGCAACTGTAAGTCACTCCACTTTAAAAATATAAACCAGGTCCAATCACTTTAAAGAGATGAAGTATGAGTTTCATTATGTGCAAAGCTAGTTAATTTTCAGCTTGAACAATGTGGAGAAAATAAGAATGCTTTCTGCTTCAGTGTCACCAGTCTGATATAAATGAAACAGATGTGACTAAGCATAAGTTGATTTAACTTGTTGTGTCTGTCCTGCAGTTTAAGATAGAGAATCAGAGCACTGTGACATAAAATACATCCTCCTGTTTGCAAGCCTTTGGGAGCAAGATGCCTTTTAATATTAGGATGATCTGCATTAAAAAAACGAGTTTCACTGCTCAAAGACTATAATGCAGGAAGGAGAGTGAAGGAATATGTTATCCCAGATCGGGGACTGAGAGATGAAAATAATTATGCCATTGTAGTGGGATCTATCCAAGTGGGCACGTCAAACTCTCGCTGCTGAAAATAACACGAACCTGAGATGGAAAACTTCGATTTCCTAAGCACAGCTAGCATCTGAGAGCAGTCAGTACTTGGTAAATGTCACCATTTTTTGGCTTAAAACATTTGCTAAAAAAAAAAAAAGTTCATGCTCCGGTGAGGCTCAGCAGTAGGAACAGATTGCCAAGGAATATAGGAAACAAACTGCTTTTAATAGCAGTGACTTCACTGGTGCAGCTTGACTCCTGAAACAAGTCTGGGATTTCGACAGGAGTGCTGCAAATCTGCCTGGAGAACAATTAGGCAGAAAGCAACTGCTGTAGCACCATGTTCGCCACTACTGTGACTTAATTAATTAAAAGCAAAGCCGAGAGGGACCTCTTAGTTGTGTGGTGGAATGAAACAGCACTGCTGAGACCTGAAGCGTTACTTAACAGTGAATTGTGACGGATTTGCTCGGATGCCTCGTGGCCAGTTGGCGCTCACGGTACACTATTAAGAATTTCCTTTACGTTATAGCTGAGCTCATGGGTCTGGATCAAAGGAACTTCAAGACTCATGGGGTGGTCTTTTCTTCTGAGAAGAAATTAATTCGTCCTGTTTTTACAATAGCCGTAATTTGGCCTCTGAGGCTTTACTGACTTGATGAGCCAAATTCATGCCTGGCATAACCAATCTGATGAAAAATGTTTCCTGTAAGGAGAGAATTTTACTTGATATTTTTCTAATTGTCTCCTTCATGTTTCTTCACAGACATTCAGATGTCCAAACAACATGCCTCTAAGCTTATGTGCCCCTTTCTTATCATCTCTTCTCTTTTCAGAGGAACATTCATTTACTATGTAGTAATTACACTGGACCAAATAATTCCTGCAAGACACCTACATGCCTACATTTCAGACTGACTTGTAATTTACACTAGAGAGAGAATTAGGCCGTCAGTGACAGATTCAATCTTTTTTTTTTGTTAGACTTAGTCAACCACTCTTGGAAAAAAAAATCATTAGAGCCTGACCAAAAAAAAATAAATAATCAGAACACATCACTTTCTAAATTTTGTCTTTCCCAGCCAAAATTTTTTTTTTTAACAAATTTGCCCTTCCACCACCCCCTCAGTTTCCCATGTTTTTTCTTGACAACGTGTCTGGAAATCTCTAACTCAGCTTTCCACCCAAATCAAAACCCAGGTTAATTAAAGGCTAATTGAAGGGCAGGAGATGCTGGAGAGGACAACACACACAGGACAGCTGGATTTCACCCATGATTTCAGGATTCATCAACCTTTTTCCATCTGTCAGAAGCCTGTTACGTCCTCCTACACAGCTTTTGCACTAGAGATATCTTCACTCTGCAGCAGGTACTTTTGTCCTCTCTGATGGGAATCGAGCAGGCCAGTTTAGCCCAACAGGGCTGAAGCCCAGCACAGCTCCCTGCCACACCTGAGCAGGATTTAACCGCGCAGGACCCCCGTGCAGCATCTTTCCTCAGGCAGCTCCCTTAACGGGAGGCCTTCCTGGTGCCTATAGCTTTTGCTCGCTGCATATCTACTGTCTTGTTGGGTTAGCATCAAGTGAACATCGCATTCTCCGCTCCCCAGCTACATTTTCCAACAAAAATGTCTCAGAACGCTGCATTTTAGGAAAATTTCCAGTCTAATCCCCTGCAATGCATCTGCTCTGGTGGGCTGAGACAAGATGTCATTTTGCATTTTTGGATATCGGTAGAGCCAGGAAGGCTGAAAGAAGGAAGAAACTGAATTCAGCTTCTCACTTAGGAAAAGTCAAGAAATTCAAATTAAAGCAGCCTACAGATGGGAGGTTTGAGCCTACTGTTCTTCAGCTAAGTGATTCATATCTTTAAATCTGCCCCCAAACTCCACAGGCACAAAAATTATTGTAAGTGCTGGGGCCTGAGGCTTTGCAAAAGAGCTGACATGATCTGGAGAAATGATGGTGAGCGGCCAGCGCGTGAGCCCAGGAGCCGGGCTTCCTGCCCTGCTCTGCGCCAGGCTTCAATTATAAGCTTCAGTGGATCATTTCGTTTTCTTAAACCATCCTTCTCCATATATAAATACTGGGAAGTGCTGCTCTTCCAACTCAGAGGGAGCTGTAAGGATAATTGCTTGAGAAAAATCTGACATCCTTTAAATTTACCAGCTTACAAAAATTCTGCCATCTCTGGATGGCAGAAAACATGGAAATGACCTAGTGAAGAAGCATGAACCAAGAAGTAATTGTTACCACTAAGATGACTTAATTCCTTTCTTATAAAGATAATTGTGAAAAAAAATTTTAAAAAAAGAAGAACAAAAACATGACAGCCAACTGGAAATTTGGCAAAACTGCCATTTCATTTCAATGAAATACTTGTCTTCTGAAAAGCAGACTTTTCAGCCAGAAAACTGTCCTGTTAAAAAGCACTTGCCCACCTTAAAACATTATAACTTTCGCAGCGTTTTAGTAACGCAATTAGGAGAGATGGAAATGAGGCAGAGGAATACTGAATGAGCTCACAGAAGTCAGCCCGCAACAGGGCGCCCACGTTATCGCCTCTACCCACAGCCTGTATCACAAATGAGGTGATCTCTAGTTATTCATGATACTCTCTTCTTCAGGGATGGAGGAGGTCCAACAGAAACGCTCAGGCACCACCTTTTGTGACACTTAACACTGGTAAAATCTTAAGAGAAGGTAGCTGGGGGGATGAGGGAGTGCGTGGGGGTGGGTGCTCAAAGCTATCCAGGACTGGAAATAAATAAAACAACTGTTTCACAAGTGAATCTAGCCCTCCTCTCTAGCTATAAAGGCAATGTAGAGGAATCTGCTTTCAATTTGGACTGCGAAATACATTTGGTATCTCGGGCAGTGTGGGGGTTTTTTTCCCTGAACGGTGTGTCCTCCATTTACTGCAGAATATAAAGATGGAAACACGCTAGCCCGAATGGAGCGGGCAGGCAGAAGCATCCCCAGCCTGCCAACTTGGAACGACCAGAAACTATTTTAAAATGCAATCCCAGCCTTAAATGTATGCGACCCCGTGAATTCGGCTGCTCTAAACCTCATCTCTCAGTTATTACAACAGAAGGGAAGGAGAACGCACAAGTAATCACCAGGGCTGGAAAGTAACTTAAGGGCTGCAAGAGGGATTTGACCAGCCGAGCACTTAGCGGAAGTGGTGCAGGGACTTCCCTGGCCTCCCAGTCAATTAACTGCAAAATCTGAAAGGTAAATGCTTGCTTGCAACACACCCCCAGCAACACTCCCGGCAGCAGTAATTGGGAAGTGAAATCTTGGCAAAAGGAACTTTATAATAGAAACAGAAGGAAAAGATATTTAGGAAATAAACCAGGGATGCACTCAAAGCAGATGGAAAATGCTCAGAATGAGAAAAAGGACTTTTTCAGAGCTATTTTAGAAATCCTCTTATTTCCCCCCACCCCATTATGAGAGAAGACGATCTGAGCTAAATTCTCTCTCAATGACGTACTAATAATAACAGTTATGATAATAAATTTCATTTGTAATTTCCAACCACTTCTGTATTCAGCTCTCCAATATGCATTAAAAATAAAGTCATTATCCTTCCCCTCCAGGAAATCCAAGCTGTAGGCCAGTTTAGTTAACTTGCCTAAAATTATACAATCTCTGCAGAGCCAGGATGAGAGTCGATACATCCTGATTGCCAGGCTCACACTTCAGCTAAACACCCTTACCCATCTTTAAGACTGAACCTGAGCAGAGCTGAGTAATTCCAAGCCCCCACAGAGCATTTTACATATTTGAAGAACTGCACAAACAGCAAGCAATTAGTTCTGAACAAGGTCCCTGGAGAGTTTATACTTAAAATATATGTAGTTTAAGATACGTTAAGCCAAGCACTATAAATTAAAATAATCACTGAATTCAGATATAACATCTGGGGACTTCTGGGGTGTGGGTGAGATGGGCAGTGTTTCTATATGGGAAGGAATAGAAGCATCCCTGTACAGGGAGAGGAAACAAGTGGCGTTTGTTGGCAGATGTAAGAAGAGGGTATGTGAGTCATAGCTCACAGCAAAGAGCTTTCCAGGGTGTTTGGGAGGGAGGCACAGGCGGTCAGGAGTTCATCCGTGTGAGGGTATGGAAGCAAAAGAGTTTGGGAAACATGGCAGATGGAGGGCTGAGGTGGGACCAGAGCTCTACCCAAGAGAGGCACCAGCCCTCTCTTTTGTGTCTTCCCTAAGCTTCCTGGCCAAAATTCTGTACCTATAATCCAGAAGACTGAGGAAAATAAGGTGACGCAAAGTCACCCAGAAAACACATGGCAAAACCAGGAATTACGCCTGGAGCTGCCAAGGAATATTTTGGTATCTTCACTACAACCTTACCCAGCTCTCCTGCTCCTCCTGCAGACCCACTAATAACAGGGAGCGTGTCCTGCAGTGGCCCCGCAAAACCAGCCTCTGGGCAA